AAACATAGGGGACAGCCTCTTTCTTAAAGGGCTTCCCACGCAGGACGCGACTTGTGCCGCGTGAGAGGGTTGAGTGCGGCGTGTTATGCTGCGAAAGGCGTTGGCGGCGGTGCTGGCGCAAGCTGAGCGGCTCTTCGTGGATCAACAAGTGATTACGTTTCGGGTGCGTATATGCATTTGTTAGATAACGAGACCAATAATTCTCAAAAAAATTAAGGACAGCGAGGTGAAGATAATGAGGTGAAAATTCGTCTATAAATTTACATATCCTCTGGGTACGGAGGTATTGAAAAGTGTAGTAAGCAATTAAACAAAGTAATATAAAAGTATTTGTAAAAAACAGTCATGTCAATTATTAACATTGTATTTAAAGAAACTTCATCAGGGTATTGATACTAATCATACGGGCATGCGGCTCCACTCTAACGATGATCTAGATATGTAGGAACAGTTATAGGCTGAGGTTCGACAATGACGAATGACAACATTGAACTGATTATCGATTCGTAAAGAAAGGTAATAGGCGTCAAGGAGTTTTTCTCTGAGGATAGGATTAGTATCTTATATTATGTAGAAAAGACACATATGAGAGAATTTACGGCGCAACGAAACAAGTAGTAAAGAGTGGTTAGTTTTCGCATATTATACGCTGACTGTACGACCATAGCTGCTGAGCATAAAGCGAGTCACACAAGTTTGAAGCGACGTGGCAAGGAACTTGCCAAGAATGGCCTACCAGTGCGACAATAGGCGATATAAGCCGTCTATTGTATTAGGCTACATTTAACCTCATTAAGGAAACTAAAGTTCAGTTATTGCATATTGTTACGTGAGCAGTGGAACGTTAAAAAGACACTGACAGGGTATTGATGCTCGCCAAGGTTTTTATTTGTACATGGCACGTGAGATCCGATCTGCCCAGAACACAATTTCCGGCTCGAAATGTGTTTCCTTTCCGCCCGTAAACCACCGATCGAGAACTGGCGGGTTTGAGTCGAGTTCACTCTCTTTTTCATGGTCACGCGCCATTTTGTGAAGGTTTAGACACAACCACCAAATATAATCAAAGTCATGGGTCATCGAAAGCACACACTTAATAATAAAAATAGAAACATAAATACGATACTCATTTTTCGTGGTTTCTAAAAAGCCGCAAATACGCTGATTGAAAAAAAAAAGTACAGCCACGTGACTGCCTACAACGCTCTCCTCCTCCATATTTCTTCTTCCTCCCCAGTCCAGTTTCGGTTTCGGTTTTGAGCAGTTTCATTTTATTCTTCTTTTATTAAAAAAATAGTGGCGCTGTAGCGAAATATTGATCGGGTAGTTATCTGACAACCATGTTAAAATCCTGTAAAAAAAAATAAAAGCGTATTTTGGGGGCTCTCAGTGTCCCTTTAAAAGTCACTAAGAGACGAAGAGACGCCGAGCGTGTCCTACTTCGACCGCGCTTCTTGCTTATCGATTCTTTGTTCGGCGTTCTTATCGCCTCCTGCAGCAATCTGATTAGCTGCGGAGCAATAATAAGATGTACGTGACTCGCCACGGCCTAGGCTTCTTAACCCGTCCAGGAAAAGTCCGCACCAACGCCTGTCCGCCATTGCTTGCTCACGTATTTTGAGCTCGTATTGGACCCGAGTGTGACGTCAGCGTTCGGCGAGGACTCGGATCCAATCGTGCGCCTCGTGTCCAAGCAATGGCAACTGCCAATGTTGCTTAATGGACTTTTGAAGGCTGTACGGCACGAGAGTGCACGACACGAGAGCGCCGACGGGAAGAGCGCGCAGCAGGAGAGCGCCACGTCACGAGAGCGCGTGCCATTAGAGCCCGCGTCACGAGAGCGGATGTGCGCGCCTTGAGAATGATCGATGTTGGGGTCCTCAAACACATGTTTCCTCGGATCGTACGCTTTACGTCATTTTATTGCCGTTCCGTAATATTTAAAAAAAATTCAAAGACTAAATGATTGCTTGAAACCGCGGACGTAGTCTATTATGCACCTTTGGTCGTACTCTTCAACTTGCTTGCTCAAATTCTTCGCTACGCGAACCTAGGTGGCCTTGCTGCTCCTTTGAGGCCCTCCACGATGTACATCCGCCAGCTTCTGCTTTGTCAATCTCTGCTCACTGTGAAATGCGGCCACTAGCTTGTACCTGTCGGGATGATGCAGCCCCAAGGACTTCTGAAATGCAACGTGCAGGACTGGACGTGATAGTTGGTCTGCGTTGGACACGCACATATTTTACCGTATATTGGTATCTACAACGTCCACCAACCTTGAAAAGCACATATCGAAGACGACATCCACAAGGCACAAAGCCCTACTTTAAACAAATATCGTTTTAATAAAAGAAAAAAAAAACGCCATGTATGTGAAGAAAAGTAAAAAACACAGGCGTGCTGGTGAATGATATGTATAGTAACCCTGAGACGTAGGAAAAATGAAAAAAAAAAAAAACGGACAAAGGCTTTGTTGTACTGGCCGTTTTTTTTTTTAATTTTTCCTACATCTCAGGGTTACTATGGATGCCCTGTATGTTGCATATAATTTACAATATGTTGGGAGCTAACTTACGTGCAAAAAACTGCACTAGCCGAGAAAACGGGGTCCACAGGGGTACTCCCCTTGTCTCATATGTAATGATAATGATAATCTTTATTGGCTCAGGAGAGCCGTGGCATCGCGGAAAGGTGACAGCCCGTACCATGGAGGTCCGCGGTGCCACGTCTAGTGACAATGATTATGAGATGGTATGTACAAGGGGAGGACGACGACGTATTGATGACTGGTGCTGACGATGTGTAACAAAGCCCGCGGGTGAGGGCGCGGGCCGATGTTGCGGGCGACGTGGGCCCAGTGCTTCCCAGTGGGCTGCTCGCTGGGCCGGTCCCCCGTCCAGCTGGCAGAAGTGTCCTGGCAGGCTTTCCAGGGTGGCGTCCGCAGGCCCCACCATGCGTTGGGGCTGGGAAAGCCCTGGCGGCCCGGCGGTGACGAAGGCGCCATGCATGATGAGGACGACCCGCTCCTCCAAACCGCCGCGCGAGTCCTGAAGGCCCGGTGACGGCCCAGGCGAGCAGGCCAAAGAGCCAAGGCGACCCTCAGCGGGCCGTCCGATGTACATTCTTAATGGTGAAGTCCTGGCACCTGACGGTGCGGTCTCTCGCTCCGGTGAAGGCAGCGGCTCCAGAGGGGTGGCCCAGTCGAGGTAGACGGCTGCCGCCCCCGATGCATTCATGTCCAGACTCTAGGGCCAGAAGCTAGTGCTGCGGTCACCCGGCAAAGCGGTCTGTTCACTGACGTGGAACTGGCGATACCAACTTTTACGAGCCGAATTGATAGTCGAGCGATACAACTTATTAAAATAACTAATGTACTCATTAAAGGCTACATTAAGACAATCAAGTTTTTTTGGGGGAATGCTGCAAAAGCGCAGTAAATTTTTTTTGTAGTCTTTGATACGCACATTATCTATTTAGTACGTTATACCCAACAGCTATCAAGCCGCTTGTAAAAGCTGGTACCGCCAGCTCGACGTCAGTGGACAAAATGACGAAATGTATAGTTTTGAGGAGTTACATATGGGACAAGGGGAGTACCCCTGTAGACACCCTATTTATTAGGAAATATGTTTGAAGGCTCCAGTATCGATCATTCCTAAGGTGCGCACATGCGCTCTCGTGGCGCGCTCTAATGGCACGCGCTCTCGTGTCGTGGTGCTCTCCTGTCGCCGCTATCGTGTCGTGCGCTCTCGTGGCTCGCTTTCCTTGTGAAAAGGGTATATTGCCTAGAATCAATTGCCTATAGGTAAACGGAGAGCGCATACGAGATAACGGGGGTAATTCCCAAATTCCGCAAAGGAAAACTTTAAAAAATGACGATAACGTCTTGAGTGCAAAATGAAACTCTATACTCACAAAGAAACTCGTGTTTATCGGTACCATGATTTATGAGAGAAAAAATGAGTTTCTCAATAGTCCTTCTCCTTCATAACGTTTCAATATTAAATATTGATTGCAATTAATAGTAACTAACACATGTTTTACACCAATATATCGGTCGCGAATATTTCGAATAAATATTATAACTTTTTGATATATAGATATTACGACCAAAATATTTCCGAAATATTTTTCTTAAACGGTGCTTCGTTCCCTGGAGCGAGTGTCCTTTTTGGCTGAATTACGGGTTATCCAAACCATAGAACATGCGGAAAATACGCTTGTGCTGAATTCTGGTGAAACCCAAGCAAAAACCTGGCAAAGCTGCAGCATTGCGGATTTGTCGTGGTTTTTAATTGCAACATCGTAAGAAATAACCTTTGCATTCTGAATTCGTTGTTCGTTCATTTTTTTGAAAGTTGCTATTAGTGAGTACAAATTGATGAGCTTGTGAGTTTCCAGATTTTTCACCCTTTCCAAGGTTCTGAATCTTTTGCACTCGAAAGCAACTATGTTTTATTTGTTTCAAATTCTCCTTTATATTTGAGCCACATCTGTCACAAGACACGAACATGCCTATAAAACCAGGGTTTTTGTTTTGTTTTAGTTTTGTTTTTACCTCAACTTTATAATTACTCTCAAACTTTTCCGCAGTGGTTTCTCATTGTCGACGTGGACCCTACTGAGTGAATAGAATCAACATTAAATAAAAATAGCGTAGAATTCCGCTGACATTGACCTGATAAAAGTTTTATCTGTAAACATTCCATTTGAACGTGAAGAGTTTTACTGGCAATATGTTATAAGAAAAAAATTAAAAAAAGGTATGCCACGTGTGCCATTTTTATGGGCGTATAGCATTGTTAGTCTGGCCAGTTTATCATTAGGTTTATATTTAACCCGCGAGCTATCGCTGCTTCCTGTTATGTATCACGAATCAAACATGGGAAATGTGAAAGGGCACCTGACTGACGCCAAGTAAACGTTACACAGCAGTGTTTCTTGTTTGTTTTATCGTTTTGTTGAGCAGTTCACCATGAGCCTTTTTTAGATAAATAGAGATTGAATTAGCGCCAAGCCATCGAGCCTACCTAGAGTTTCGCCAAGAGAGAAAATAATCGAAAATTACATATTTTAGTAACCAAACATGAATTCCGCTGTAGTCGCCACTTTGTGTGTTCTCTTCCTCTATGTGCATCAAGCCTCGGCTACTGGAGACAGTAAGGTCATTTCATAAATTTCTTACCTTCTAATTACGATTCATTATTGCTTTATGAAGGATGATTACGTCTTCAATTCTGTCTTCCTATTTGTTTTGGAGCTGTGCTAGTTTTGTCTTGATTTTGGTTTTATTTGTGTAATTTCTTATTTACAGGTTCTTGCCTCAACTTTACCTTCTCAAATATCCTGGGTCTGGGAAAGGTATTCGTCTGCCAACGTATCGGCTTGTCAAAGCACCTAACTCATATCGAATATTTTTTTTAAATAATTTTTTAGGGACATATATTTAGTGTTTGGGTCCGTAGTTATTACATTTCAGGATTTTATCAGCGTAATTCGCTACAAGTTTCTAAACATTAGTTCTTGAAGCAGATACATGTATTAGGCTCCTACAGTTAAGAACCGCTGTAACCCGTCCACATAGCGCTTTTTACCATTCACAAGCAGTGGCGTACAAACTTGTTTTTGAGGGGCGGGGGGCAAACCAGCCCCTCCCCCCCCCCCCCCCCCCCCCAGTGCCGGGGGCGGTTTCCTTGGTATCCCTTCAGCGCCGCCGGCCAGTGTTTGCCCTGCCCAGTGGCGGCTGTTTCAGGGGGAGGGGGGGCCAAACACATACCTTGCCCCCCACTCTGAGAACTGGGGGGGGGGGGGGCAAGCGCCCCCCTTGCCCCCCCCCCCCGGTTGGTACTCCCATGTTCACAAGCCTAACCGAGGTAATGTTTTGTGACTCAGAGAATCAACGTCTTTCAGAGAGTAAGCCTTTGGTGTTGCTGTAATACCGCTATAATATTACTCAAAATACCATATTGTCTACTACTCTACGATAATATGTTGATGACAGCCGCAAAATACTATATGAAGGTACTGCGTGGTGCACAGTCATAATAATTAGCCAGTATATAAACCTCGAGTTGAGACAATCCGTAACAATATTGCACCCATTTTGTGAAACTTTCAACAAGCACATCTGTATTTAGCTCCAAATCGTGATAAATGCTATCGCACAAATGAAGTAACAAAAATCGAGGCTCAGTATTGCCCTTGGGCATCAAGAATGAAGGTGCAGTCTTCAAAAATCCACAAGATTCATTTGCCGAGGCAGTTTATGCAGTAGCGGACCCACTGTTGTAAGCAATGCATTACCAAAAACATAGCGAAATACGCTCCTTGTTACTGAAAATAAAAGGAGCACTTTACCGCTACCATTACTAATAAAAACTGACAAATTTTACCTTTGCGTTACTTCTTTATTGTAAACCGAAATATTTTACTTTATTGACGTTGAATGTATGCATATGCGCCATATTTCAAGAAATATTATGTTCATGCAGACGCTTAACTAAATTACTTACCTCTCTTACGGTTTTGATTCTACAGGTATATGGGATGAGTGCAAGAATATATGATTTGGAGCTTAAAACACACAAAAAATCAACTGTTGTTTTTTGGGCTTTGATAAAAACATGCAAAATGTAACGTAAGTATACATTGCCCGTCACGCGAAATAAGTGGCTTAAGTATGTTTTACGGTGCTGTATTAAAATATAATTATTATGTTGTGGCGTTTTTGAAAAAATAACGCTTCACCTGTAATGCAGTTGTTTGTAACGTGTTGCTGCCAACACTGGGAGCGCTAAAAATGTATTGGCCAGAAGCACTTTATTTTTTAGATATAAAATAACGCAGGTTTGTGTATTTATTCACACCACAGACTATGGGCTTAACCAAAACGAATCCTGTGCCGCCGCCTGAATTTGCCTCGTTGAATGGGTCTTTCGTATTGTTCGAAAATTTAGGACAGCTGGATAACGATAAACAATACTTCTTGAGAAAAAAGTTTCGAGCGTTTTGGTAGCAACGTCGAAAATACATTAATTTCAACAAACAATGTTTCGACTATGATTATGCCAAAGTAGTGTTCGATTCTGGTGACTTTCTTTTTACTCCCGCTACCCTACTGAAAAAAAATTATATGAATTTATTTCTGATATGTTTATTGGACACCTATTTTTTGTTATTTCATATCAGTTTCATATGTCACGTATCAGTTTCAGCTAGGCTAGGTGGCGCTAGCTACCGCCCAATTCATGTGCTACAAAATGTTTTTATTTTCTCCCGCCACCATGTAGATACATTACGCATACCACTAGATACATTACGCATACCACTAGCGTCAGCTGAACATATACGTTGAGCAATACACATACATAGCACAACAAACATCAATACAACAGCACACCATACGATAGCTACCTCTTAGGTCTGCGTTTCTGCCTTTTATACTGGTCGTTTTGAAGGTACGGCTTTTCTGGGTGACCATCTAAGCAATAAATAATATTCGCAACATGTTGATTTATTTTCAGTAATGTCATACCTCTGAAAGTATTTTTAACGGCTCAGTTGATGAATCTCTTAGTGGAAAGTAAACCCCAATGCCGTAATTATTTGAAAGCCAATAAATCAAGTTGCTCCACTGCAGTTACAAGCCACATGTTTGCTTGCCCGCACGGCACGTCTTATAATGAAAAAAAATTATATGAACGTATTTATGATACCTTTATTGGCACATTGCAAATTCTGATACGAAAGTCATAAAAGTTATCAGCTAAATCACATATGAACTTGGATGCTGCATATCGATTCTCACACGCCACATATCAGTTTTTGGGTATTTAATATCAGTTTAATATGTCACATATTGGTTTTTGGATAATTAACATCAGTTTTACATGTCGCATATCAGTTTTGGGATATTTCATATCAGTTCCTATATCGATTCATATAATTGTTTTCAGTAAGCTAGCCCAAGTAGCTCAGTTCTTTGGGTCAAAAGTTGTTGGTTATTTTGGTCTGGAAATGTAGAAAATGTTAAAAAGCCCGAATGAGCAAAATTTGAGCCAGGCTGGATCTTCTTTTGTCCAGAGCCTGGGTATCTTGGCCCTAATTTGCCAAACAAAAGTTCTTCACCGCTCGTAGTTTTGCTGTCGTCTGGAAACTTTGGGCCTTGATTACCAAACAAGTTCCCGATTTCGTCTTCACTGCTGCTTCCTCCTTTCATAAGAGCACGTCTGGCTCAAGTGTGGCACTTCTGCTTCTGCAATTACATGGCGTGCCAGAAAAAGGATGGCAACTCCGCAAAAATATATTTGTAACAAACTAACACCTCGGAGTAAAAGCGTACTAGGTTCAATTCCAACCATTAGAATCGCCAAGGTTGCGCCAAGTTTAGAGTTTCCCTGGCGTGCTATCTGACGTTCCTTATTTTACGCATTTCAATGTGGAGTGTGTCAATAATAGTTGCAGACATCTTGAGGAATGCAGGGTGTGACGTGTCCCGGTGTTTTGTTGTAATGTCAGCAAGCTTATTAACGCTGCGGAGCTAAAATTTCCGTATTGGACAAGCAAGAAGTGCGAATATTATGAACGGCGCCATCCATTTCCTTTTAAGTATGGGATTATAAAACACTTAAGGATGATTTTATTTTGCTGCGTCATCATTTTGTTAAATTCCGAATAAAAAGGTGACTAGAATATTTTTCTTTTTTTTCTTTCACTTTTCATGTTCTTTGATTAATCACTGAACACGTGTGAAGGCCTTCTCGTCTATCACGAATGTTGGGTACCGACTCTTCCGTTAATCAGAAGAAGCAAATTATATTGCCCCAGCAATGTTGTATATATTTAAACTAATGTTTTTCACACACATTTTGTATTGGCGAACTACAAATTAAAGACGACGTCCCCAAAAGATGCACAAGATCTTAATACGAATCTTAAGTAGAGCCATATTATAATAGGTATTTTAAAAGTAAGATACCAAGTTTTCCCAGTCGGTTGGAACATTACTATATCATTGTGTTTAATTTGAATGAACACTGAAACAACAAATATTAAACGTCCTAATTTATAAACTAGGTTCTTGTGTGAATTTTTTTCAGTGCTTAGGCCCAACTGCTGACCTCTGTACTTCAAATAGCGTAAGTAAAATTCTATCAGTGATGTGTGACGGTTATAATTTTCCTGACAACGAGTGCAGTATCAGTTCGCTTAACATAATATTATGGAAGGCACAGACGTTCACGTACCATAATAAAATGTATTTACGTATTTACAAAAGCAGGACATAATCAGCGATAAGGCTGAGCGCGCCTGGTCATCGGTGTTTTCAGCTGGTGCACATGCTGCCGATCTTATATTCGCGTAGCACGAGAACACACTGCGCTCGGTGGCTCGTGGCATGCTTGTCGTAGCGTCATAGATGCTGCCTATCCTCCTCCTTTAAGGAGTCTCCATAGTTCAGGTAACCACGAGACGGGGTGATCATGAAATTTAGGGAGTGGCGTTGTGTGGATCGCAGGATGGGTATGTGAAGAGGGTGGTAGCAGTGGCAGTGCGTCTACCCGTGCAAGTTTCGAAGGTTTCGGTTCCAGATGTGCACCCTTGAGCCAGTCTAGTGAAACAGTGCCACGTCAATCCTTGACATCTGGGACGAAAAGGTACTTTTCTGTTGAAGAATATTAAATGGTTCATTGCAAGGTGGTTGGACAGGTGAACGCACCGCGTCATGGCGACGGAAACCTGTGTCGCAGTGCTTAGGTCTTTGGAGACGTAGGTTCGAATGCGTTCGTTTGGTCTGGTGAGAGTAGCTCGGTTCTTTGTGATAATGTCGCGGAGCTGTGTGGTATGGCTAGAAAGGCCGGGGATGGCTGTGGCTGCAGGCGCTCGACGTGACGCCAGAATATCACTAAATCAATTGTTGTAATATTAAATGCCGCATTGCCTTTTTTCTGTGTGCTGAACCAAAAATAGTTTTTTTAAAGACGCAATGAACTGACTAAATGAATGCGCATTTCATTGTTTGAATGAATGCGCACGCGCAATGTGCAATGAATGCGCATTTCATCTCGCTTAAAATTTTATGTAAAGATTCGCCGTATGTTTCTTTATTTATTTAAGTTTTACGCGACACGTTATTCAGAATACAATTTACACAACTCATCGCGGTTTATCAAAAAAATAATGATTCGGGATATTTTGTGCTCATACGAATTTCGTCGGAAGCTGGAAGTATTTTGACGAGCAGAATGATCGCCAACGCTTGGATAGTGTGATTAAACAAATATACAGTGCAAAAAAATTGTTATTGAAGTTTTCTAAAAAAACATATTTAACACTGCACTTTCAGTTCTAATGAGCTTGCAACTCAAACTGCATAATTAAAAAAAAGGACTGTTCTGTCACACCAAATATCATAGATGAGCGTATGAAAGTACTCACCTTTCTGCAGTCCTATTTGTCTTATGTGTGGACAGTCATGTACCATGAAACAATGACTCTCTGGAAATGTAGGCTACAAATTTGCTTCATATCAAATGTATGCTGAACATCTAGGTGCTAGAAAAAGCAAACAAGCTCGCTTAAGTTTCCTAGTTAAACTGTAGAACTAATTTATGGGTGTCGTACTATATTGCTTCGTGTAATATAACATTTATTGTGAAGTGAAAATATATTTTCACTTCACACGTCACACAAACGCTTGACAAGCAATTAATAACTACAGAACTGTTTGCCATTGTGGTGTTGAGCGCAATATGTGGATATGTTCAACGCACCCAATAGACTATTAGTCATAAAATGTTTTCAGATAAAAAATAGGGTTAGTTAAAAAGAGAAAGCCTTTTTCTCGAATCAAAATTCTATTGGTATTCCCATCCATGAATTGCCCTAAAAAAACGTGCAGTGCTATTTGATCTGGAAATTTAAATCGATTATTTTTACACACTTCTAGACAATTAAAAACTCGAAGTTTATATTAGGTACTCAAATTTTGCTAAACATGAAAGACCTGTTTAGTAATCGAAGATGTATCGTCATATTTTATCTGCTTTCCAATTGCAGCAAGCCGCTGTGGACCTAATTGGAAACCTGGTTTTGGTAAGTCTTGCAAAAAATAAAATGACGGCGTTTATTGCTTCAGTATAATTATATGCAGATTTACACATTTAAAATATGATTACAACAGAAGGCCCGGCTCATTGTGCCAAACCAGTGTGTTTCTAATGAACAGGTTTGCACACACACCAGGTTTGTTTTTAAAACATAAACTGCTGTACAAGCTTAAACCTGGAAACCAAACTTCGAGCGTACAGAGAGGATGCCATGCGATGAAGCTATCGATCGCATAACAGATGATACTAAAATGATGCATCATCCAATAATATTTAAGCAATTAATTTTAGCTAAAAAAACCTAAACGTGGCTACTTCAAGCCTGATAGATAGGTGAAGACGTAAAAGGGAAAAGAACTGAACATACCAAAAAGAAAACTTAAAACAGTTATTCCGTGAGTGCAATTTGTCTGAACTACACGGAGCCTTTATAGGAAGGTCTTTCCGCCCTTGAGAGCTGGCATCTAATATTTTAATGTCTAAAAAAGTTAGGACGTTGTGTCATCTTTTTGTGAAAACAAATATTGAGACATAAAAATATTTTCGCAAAGACACTGCGCAGATTGTAGTTGAAATTCGAATTCATACCTTTTGTACCGTCTCGTATTGCGGAAATGCTTCTTTACTAAGCTACTTAGGCACTATTGTGGTAATACTATTATTATTATGCCGGCGACCATGATAAAGCGTTTATCTTTCTCATAAACGATTCACATAACTTTTTGATATAACTGTTTTCATCCCGCGGACGGGACTCCCGCCACTTACGAACGACTTTTGATGTTTGATTAAAAATTTAAATTTAAATGTTTATTTTTTTGTATACTATATATGCGTGTAAACATAAAAGACAAAGCTACCGGCTCGCGCTACTTGCACCTTTCGCAGTGTCTGTGCACAAAATAAATGTTTCCGCATTTAATAGCCACAGCTTCAGAACCTCACAATCCTGGTACACAACCAGGAATGCGTTTTCTTGCGTCTCTAATAAAAACGGAGTGCTTACAATACGATGATGTTATTAGGTTTCTGTAGCATTTGGAGGTCACGCATGGCGGTCCTACCAGCTGACCTTAATGCTAAAAAAGTTCGGCATTATTTTATTTTTTTTCAATTTGCTGAAACTGTGTTCATGCGAAACACGAACGGGAATCTGAACCGACTGAACTGAAGTTTTGAAAACCCTTCTCAAAAGGCGCTAGTTTTAGTATGCTGTTCAAAGTTTTGTACAGCTTTCTAAATTGACTTGACAGGTCTTCTCTTCCATACATTTAATAATAAAAGAAAAGGCTCACAACCTTGGGCTTGTAAATCGGGCTCATACTGGTGGGGTCATGGGTCCGAACCCCCTTGGAGGTCATTCGGAATCTATATATTTGTTTTCGTTTAACCCCTTATAACTCGATTTTTAACGCATGCGCATACGTCGCGTTGAATACGTTCAGAGGGATAAGAGCGCAAGTACGTAGGGTTCACTCATAAACGCTTTATTTGTCAACAGTGTGCTCTGGATGGCATCGGGGACCTGAATGTTGGGTCCCAGCTCTATCTGATATTCCAGGGTCTGCTGGTTACTTTTGAGAGACTCAACCTCGGTAACGAATCAAGCAAACTTTTGTCTATTCTACTGTATATGAAATTGCAAAAAATGGTCATATATATGTGAAACATTGGCCACCCGCTTAACTGAAAACGCTAGCTAAAATGCTCGATGCGCAGATTTAATACGTGTTTTCTGGCTGTTATATATATATATATATATATATATATATATATATAGGGTGTTATATAAGCTTTACACATCTGGTTAAAAAAAGCCATGAAAGTTACACTTATGTAGTTTGTGCAGGTGAGTTATATGGCCAGGGGGACATTACGTAGGTGGCTAATTTTTGCGATAACTCGGCTAATTAGTTGAAATGCTTTAATTAACGTTTTTATTAGTGAAAATAGATATATGGTTCCAATTAGAATCTTACTGAGCGTCATTGAAGACCACTAAATCAACTTTATTTAGAACGACTTGGACCTCATGGGAAACTCGGGGGCGCACCAAAGTTACCACTCGCGCAGCAGGCACCAAGCTAGCAGTGGCAAAACGCGGATGATTAAATTATCATCGCGGTCCGCCACTGCTAGCTTTGCGCCTGCGGCACGAGTGGTATCTTTGGTGCGCCCCCGCGTTATCCACGAGCTACAAGTCGCTCTAATAAAAATTGATTTAGTGGTTTTCGATGACGCTCAATAAGTTTCGAATTGGGACTATATGTCTATTTTCACTAATCAAAAAGTTAATTAACGAATCATAATAAATTAGCTGACTTATCGCAACGAGTAGCCACCCACGAATGTCCCCCTGCACAAACTCACCTGCACAAACTGCATAAGTATAACTTTAATGGCTTTGTTTTAAACAAACCCGTAAAATCTGTAAAAAATAAACAAAAAAACAAAAAAAACACCCTGTATATGATAATGCAGTGAGTGCGCAGGTGAGCTGGTGGATGTTAACCATTTTGTTCTTAGCCCGACACTGAGGCAGGAAAAGAGGAAAGTATATATATATTTCCGTCGAATTTGTGCAATTTTTCAGAAAGTCGTAAAATGGTGCGCGTGCCTTCTATCGTTGTGCAATTTGTTGATTTAATGTTTTTCGATGATGCTGAGCAATTTTCTAATTGAAACCGTGCCCTTAAACGCAATATTAAAAAAGTTAGTTACGAAAAAATAATTAATAACTTAATTATCCCAGACTTTAACAACTTTCTAAATGGGCCCCTGGCCCAGGACCAAAACGACATAAACCTTTTTTCGTTGCGATGAGTAGTTTTTGTAGGAGCGATTTGGCTTGCGTTCTCTGAAACACCCTCTGTGCGTGTGTGTGCGTGTGTGCGCGTGCGTGCGTGCGTGTGTGTGGGCGTGCGTATGTGTGTGTGCGTGTGCGTGTGCGTGCGTGTGTATGTGTTTGTGTATGTGTGTTTGTGTGTGTGTGTGTGTGCGCGCGCTCACCGACGTCAGCATGTAAATTCCTTACGATTTCCATGAATTGAAGGCTTCGGCTGTACAATTTCCTTCACAGACATTTCTCAATTACATGATTTGACATTTTATTATCTGCCATAACGTGAAATTTTTATCATCATGCGTGACATCTGAACACAAAATAATAAAAAAATAGGAAGCAAAATTAATCGTATACCGATCGAGTCGGATGCTTCGTAACAATAGATCCAATCGATCAGCACGGTTCAGTAATTTTCATGTTTTCTACTATTAACTGTCATAATATATACATTTCAAAATTTAATAAACATCATAACCATATTATGAAGGAATAATCCTTCAACCTCACGTAAAACATATATCTGTATAACATAAACACTGTTCTGCTTCGTAACTACACGTTTTTATATCAACAATAGCTTTTTAATTGTAATGTTAATAAATTACCACTCAGCAAAATATATTGAGAGTGGACGTGACTTTAGTAATGTGACAATAATAAAATAATAGTAGTCAAACCCTCAGCAAGAGTTGAAGACTGCAGCGGTTTTGAGAATGTATTCACGACCCAATGTTTCCCTTAATCCTGTATCTACGTATCAACAAATAGAACGTTTACAGAGGAATACAAACAAGAACAATCACTAAATAATGTAAGATAAAATACATCGAGAATTAAATTTTTGTAAGCGTTCTGTTCATTTCGTAACCCGAATAGAATTGACAGTAAAAATATCCGGGAGATATGTTAAAGCTGAGCTTTGATAGATGATGTTGGCGGTGCATGATTTAGCAGATACAATTTTTTCATCACCGCCACTAAAGCAGCCATTTTAAAGCTGGCGTCATTTGGCACTGGATGCCTCTGACTTATAAAAAGAACCCATCTCGAACAGTTCTCCGCAGCTTAGAGGCGCAAGCACTGACTACGCACATCCACACTTCCCTCCAAGCGGGCATGCGAAACCATCCGCCACTTACAGATCACACAGAATGACTCCCCGGCCACCAAGGCCTTCAGGGAAATGAGAGAGCACACGCTTTGGCCCGCGACGGCGAACCTCCGGACCCCCCGACACACTGCCCGGAACGATGCCACCCATGCGAGGACCGCTCAGAACATCACAAGAAAAGAAATGCACACATGGCCAACTACGGGTCCCAGCGCTGCAAGCTCCCCTCCCCTTCCTCTTCCCACACCAGACGGGGGGCCTCTATCATCCGGATGGCACAGACCCTTTCTCTTCCTTCGGAGGACTATATCCACTTCATGCAACAGGCTACCCCTCCATTGAACAGACAGACTGATCTTGCCCCAGGTTCTCAAACTCCCTTACCAGTCTCTCTCCCTCCCTTCTTCCCTTCTCAGTCCCCTATTCCCGGGCAAGCGGGGTTGCTCCCCCGAAGGATCTCTAAGCGACCCAGTGGCCACTCCTCGTAGCCCACATTGAAAAAATAAGTCCATCCTCGGACGCCAAACCACCGACCCCACAAAGGACGAGGACGGCGCTTCCTCGTCCACCGATGAAGATTGAATACGACTCAGGCTTGAGTTGTGTTATAAAGTTTATTCTCTCTCTCTCTCTTTATCTCTTTATCTTGAACACGCTTATATATGGATGTCATTCAGAATTGTGCAGTCTGTCTCCATCCATGTTCCGCAAGCATTCATTCCACTCCAATCAATAACAAACTCGTCATATTATAATGCCCTACTAAAGCAATAAGTTACCCCATAGTACATATATGTCATATTTTTATTGAAACTACCATATGTAAAAAGGCAGCAAATTAAGTCGTTTTATCCGCAGATTTTTTAATTTTAAGTGGTTCGAGACAATCTTTCATATTTTATTTACGTGTTATAAACATAAAACACAATATCGACGGCGACCCTACGCCACGTCCATTTAGATGAAAGTATTGCTATTTTAAAATTTCATAAACTCTAGTGAAAAAAACAATGTAATTTATATGCAACCTGACAAACAAAGTATGGCACACAATCACCGTCGAACAGGACAATGATCCGTGTGCTTTCAACTGAGAAAATGCTTATGATGTAGTATATCACGTATGAATGTCATGCGCTATTTTGAGGTATAGGTGATAGAGGTCATAAGTGTTTTGTGGGGTTTTTTTTCAATCGGGTGTGAACTCATCTGTTTCTCCTACGCATGGCGCTGACTTGCATCCTTGCAGGCATAGGAAAGGATCTGATCAGTGGACTCTGCGGTCTTCTTGCAAGCCTGCTGGGGACGACTTGCAGCCTGACCGAATTAGATCAGACAACATTGTGCGACGAACCCCTTGATTTGAATCTTCCGAGCGTCCTTGGGGTCGGGGAGGTATGCCCGTAATTATCATTCCTCCATCACTGCTCACTTCGTGGGAGAGCAAACACGAATACCCTCATATGTGGCCTAATGAGCTTGCGTCTTTTTTTATTGATTTCCCAGGTTCAGCTGGTAAGGGAGCAGATATAAGGATGTGGTACTTACCAGAACCTATGCGCACTAAATTTCAGTTGCTTATGATAATCACATAATATTGTACGCAACAGCTATATCAGACAAATAGAAGCAAAATGGGCAAGTTAATAGGCAGCAAATACAATAGGTACAGAACGTGCGAGAAATAAAATTGGATACATATTGCATGTATATTCGACCAAATTTCTGTGGCCGCATTTGCGCAATTTATGATATAAAAACACTCAATATGCAATACCTTAGTCGCACAACTCTTGTTGGACACAACTAAACATATGACAACTCTGACGATACGTTACGATATGTTACTATAAAATCTCGCTTAAAACTGTAATACAGATATATCTCCCGGATATTAACAACCTAAAGCATTGGTACAAAATTACAATGCAAACATTTTTTATAGCAGGCTACATAAAGTGACTATGCTGAGCAGCGCAGTATTTGCATAAAAATAAAATTTTGCTGCGAATAGAAATCTTCTGAAATTATATTTTTAGAACTAAAACCTTTTATTGGCCTCTGTCTACCTTCGCATTTTTTAGAGTTTGAGATATTTAGTAAGTTAACGTTAATCGGCCATAATAGCCTGTGACCGGCAAACGTTGAATGCAGTTCTGATAAATGAGATCGCAAGTCCGCCATTCCGCACAAACCGTTTTTATAACGATGGCATTTTTGTTTATTATAAGCGAAGCGACGTTTAAAGATTCTAGCAATGTTCATTGCCATGCCGGAGCGAAGGCCCGTAGTTTTACAGGACGTTAAATTGCACATCCACTCAGACAAAAGTTTAGCGTTGTTTCTAAAAGACGTGAGGGTCAGGCATGAGGACATTTAAATGCGTTTTTATTTTGTGTCCCCGATTGTAATTAGTGCTTCCGTGATACGTGGATTATACTGCAAAACTATGAATTTACATGTTTACATGTGCGGCTTTAATTATACTCGGTTTCGCTTGAAGCCTGAACTCATTCATTGCTACGAGCCGATGAAGTCAAACAAGCAGCGCCAAAAGTGCATCATCATGGCGCACATCAGCTTTGTGCGTTTGCCTTCGGTGACTAAATCACTCGCGCATAGCGAATTCGTCGCAGTCCTGCGCTTTTGTATACGCGTGATTGGTTCGTTCGGCGATTGCATGTTCACAATGACAACATGGTGATGATGATGATGAACATTTCGCGCAGCCTCAGTGGCTGCGTCAAATCGGAGCGGCAGATACGGTCGCACTTAGAGTGAAACAAAGTATAAACCAAATAGACCGTTTGTGGTGAAAATATCTTTCTATCTTTTCCTTTTTGTCGTTACTCTATGCTGTCATTGCGCATTGTGAATACGGTGTCTATATACGCCTGCCTTTTGAACAATGTGCGCCAACCAGCGCAGCAACGCACTTCGCTTTACTTTGTAGAAATTTCTGAATTACCCCCCTCTCCCTCTCTTTGGCTCGGCCATACGATAGTAGAGTATACCCATTAAGAAAACGCCAACAAATACGAAGAAATTAATTTCCTTCCTAAGATACCCATGCGTCATTGGTACACAGTTCTCAAATGATCTCCGAATGTTTCAAAACGTAAAACTACATGGTGTGGATGCTTGTTGTAAGGCAAAGGGGTTCGCACCCTCCTTGGGCGGGAATCTTACTATTATTTAGAAAAAATTTATTCTTCAATATTAACGTTTCGTGCTATTTACAGTTCCTATTTACGAATGAAAATCTGTAGTAATAGAATCAGCCCGAGAACCGCCACTTTGTTTTCTTATTGATTCTTTTTCTGTTCCAGTGTTTCGGGACGCAGTTGCAAGTTTGCGACCAAGGACAACTTGTGACTGTAGGTAGATACACCACCATTAATTTGCCATATCTTCGATGAAATATAAATTAGTAGTAATTATACTTTGTGTATTGATCTGCCTTTGCAGGTAGGTCTCGTGGAGATTCTTTTTAATTTTATCCTGGTGAGTGCATAGTTTGAAAAGTTTTCTATAACGACCGAAAAAACAACAACATTAGAATACACCTGTAGAGTTTTCTCATTTTATTTAAACACCCTATATATGTTTGTATTGAAACAGTTCGTATACTAATGGCTGCTAATTAGCGAAGTCGGTTCAAGAATATGGTCACTGACAGACGAAGAAACGCTGGACGCGACCTATGATGTTCAGTCTTCTTGCCTTGTATACAAGTAGTTCGGATTTCGTAGTTGCTACTTTCGCTATAACAAGATGCACAAGGCTCCTATAGGCTAGCGTTTCACGCAAGCCTATAGGAGTAACTTCTGTAAAATAACAAAAAGTAAAGTTCGTGCTAACTCGTAAGGACCATAAGTATAAACGCGAAAGAAATATATATATATATATATATATATTCTTTTTTTTAATTTACCGGCCAGCCAAATAATGTTAAGACATTACGAGCTTCAAGCATTTTTATTATTTTACGCGCAGCGTTTGAAAATGGGAAAATCCTTGTTTTGCAGTGTATGTTGGGCAAGCTGAACGACGCCAATCTGGGGTCAATTTTGGGAAATATTGTCTGCAGCATGTTCAATATTTTGAACAAGATTCTTGGGACGTCCTTTATTACGACGCTGCTCAGCGGTATTCTTGGTATAAATTGTGAGTGAAGGTACCTTCGTAAAGTTCAAGGTCTATTATCTACATTCAAGTTAGTCGGTTTCGCAGCAGTTCAAACTTAAGAGTCTTGTGAATGTTTGAGCCATGGTGTACCTAAAACTATTAATTGCCAGTCAATACCAGCCTGACTTATTCATTTTCGTGCAGCGCAGTCATTTGACAAGAGTGATTATGATCCATGAGTTAGAACTTATTGTTTCCTAAAACTGCACGGCAATGAAACAAACGGCTCCTTTCTGCGTTAGCATTGTACCTTGCAATATGTTCTAATTATCATCGACTTCGTAGTGCTTCAACGTTTTCTGGTGTATTTCGCGGTGTGACAATTTTTATGATAGCTGCCTATATTTCAAAATTCTTTCTGTTTTGTTATTTCTATATTTCTAGCTTTTATAACTGTTTTTACTTCAATTCCATATGTCTTCCTTTTTTTAGAATGCTTCATTTTGTTGTAGACGCGCGAATAAATAATATAAATTAATAAATCAACAACTGTTAAACCATGTTTAAAAGCGGAGACACAAATTATGTGGAGGGGTTTTATTGACCTTACATTGCAGCGTACAGTTAAATCTAGAATAGGACGCATTATTCACGTGTGTCGATACCCAGGAGCAATTATGAACAGGACGAATAGAAACAAGTCCAGTTTTTTTTTTCGGATCTTAAAAATATTTAGAAGGAGGTGCTTGCGTAAAGGTTGAACCACATTTCAAAGACCAGGCTAATTATTTTCAGAATTATGATTTTTATTTTTCCTTTGCCCACGTATCTACGATTCATCAACATGCGAGGATAAGACATTAGCAGGCTTACTCGATTTAGTTCAAACGAACAGGACCAATCCTTTTATTTATATATGTTTCATATCCCCTACCGAGTTCAGGCTTTGATATGCATTTTGTTTGCTACACTAATTGGAATAAACCTTTTTACTTTACATTTTATAAAAGAGAGATATGTTCAGGCTTAACCGATCTGATAGATTCCATTTTACAATGGACTGTGGCTTTCTTTTCTATGATTTGCAATAGACCACTGAATATAGCAGGCTTGAACCTCTTCACGAGCTTAAAATTACTACCCTTGATAAAATGCAACACGAAAGTGTTTATACAACGCGGTTCAACTGCATATTTGACGTGAAACTGACCACTGAATAGCGAATACCACCAAAAACTGAGGAAAATCATTTGCTTATGTTCTAGCACAAGTGATCATTTGTAATTGATAGTGTGAGAATTTATGTTTTCCACAGGTTGAACATGGCCATATGAACAATAATTGGTTGCCAAGACGCAGCGAATTTCTTCAATGCCACCATAAATAAACACCGAAACTTCTACCATAACTGCTCAGTCCATGGATCGCAATATTCTATGTTTCTGTGTGCTGATGTTGGTTGTTCCCTATTTGGAAGAGTGGCAACGACCTTTTGAATAAAAGCATTACTTGTTTGAATCAACGTCATTCTTTAGTTCTTTTCTATAATATTAAACGCGTCTTACAATTCCCATGGGACATGAACATCTTTTTAGGGGAATGTGTTCCACTGCAACAGCAAAAGAAGACCAGTGCATGACTTGTGATGTTCGTGATTTTCGCGTCGTGACTCTTTCCTTGGTGTTCTTATCGGCTAATTTACCAATTTCACTAGCTGCAAAGAGACAATCAAATTTTCGCAAATCGCCGTGCCCAGAATTTTTTAGGATGTCATTTACATTAACAACGCGCATCCGATCTTCACGACAGCGACAATCACTTCAAAAAGTTCATGCTAAAAAAAAAAAAAAAGCTTGGACACGCGAGGGAGCATCAAGGCAAGCAAGCTTGAAATGTCTGAGTAGTGCAATTTATAAGGATGAACAATAATATTTGCCTTACGGGAGAAAGAGAGAACGTTAGCTTTGGTGGGGCTTAAAAGCTGCGAGTTTGTACAGCACCACAGGCGAATCGCATCAACATCGTTTAGTAAGAGTTCACAGCCAACAGGCGTGCGGATACTACAATAAGTTTTCACGTCGTCAGCGAACTGCGGCATCCGCCAGTTACTAAGACAAGTTATTAAAATATTTTAAAAAATCAAATATTCGATCTTTGTGGTACTCCGAAATGTATCATATATTGACATTATTGGCATTCCAAATAGAATATCATATTTGAGCGATGGCAAAGGCAGATGTCAAACCAGTCACAAAGGTCCGAAGAAAGACCCATATTAAATAGTTTCGTCAACAATGTATTGTGATCTACGAGGTCAAACGCTTCAGAACATGAACAACATTAATCCTGCCCGAGGACCAACTATAGGCCTTGCGAACTCCAATAAGGTTACAAAGTTAGCCTCAACTGATCACCCTCGACAAAAACCGTGCTGATTTTGACTGGGAATTGGTCTAAAATGAAACCTCAGACACTTAAAATAACTTGCTCAAAAACCTCGGAAAAAGCAGAGAGCAGGGCAATTGGTCTGTGAGTATCGACACACGAAGAGCTTCCAAACTTGTGCCCTTGCACATCCAGAGCATTTTCCCATGACGATGGAAATGCATTTGTCTTTAAGGACATGTTAAAAATATACTGCATCAGGAATCCCCTACATTAATTTTGGGGCGTTTTTTATTGCCAAAAATAATCAATTGTCAATACAGGAATTGTCATAAGAGGGAGATTTTCAGGACAAGAGGTTGTGTTGTTAAACAGGGGAACATAGCTCTCTACTATAGAGGAGAAGTGCTTAGAAAATGAATTGCAGACACTCAGAGTCAAAGACGTGACCCTTCAGAGTTATAGCCTCAGTTGCACTGGATGGCCTGCTCTACCTAACATGTTCTCAAAGTCCGTCTGGACCACGCCACAGGTCAGAATCAGTGGGGTCGCGCAATAGGCGTTTGTCTTTTAATGATTCGCTTCATCATAGGGCGATACTCCTGGAATAAAGGGTACCATTGGTGCAAGCAACACGATTAATATATTTTCTGGTAATGCGATATCAATGTCAGTTCCCGGCGAAGATCATTTCATTTAATTTCTTTCGCCTTAAAGGCACAGTTATGGCAATACATAGGGAGGGAAGTTTATTAACATGAAACAACAGAAGAACGAACTAATGGAGAATAATACAAAGAAAGAAAAAATAAGTGTAGTAAAAAGTTATACAAAATATAAAACAGCAAAATATCACTCACATAAGATGGGTTTATAGAGCACTTAGGAACGCAGTAGAGTCGTTAATGGTAACTATATATGATGTCAACTGGTTCCATTTGGAAATGGCGAGAGGAAGAAAGGACTCATTAAAGGCATTGGTCTTACCAAAAATTTGTTTGATAGCGCTGGAGTTATTGAGGCGTGATGATATTCTTTCTGGGGTGGACAGCAGAGAGTCCTTGATGTCTGAGCGGTGATAATACATTTTGTAAAGGAGGCAGGGTGGGGAGAACTTCCTTCGATAGTACAAAGGGGTCTGTGAGTATGGACACACGAAGACCTTTCATATTTGTGTGAGAACAACCAGAGAATTGCACCTCGGATTGTATACTTCACCGATATAAACCTCTCCAAAGCAGATTAAAGTAGAAGTTTTGGCTAGTTGGTATTTCATGATTAAAGATTAAAACAGCGCAAGGACACGGACAAGAACGAGAATATAGACAAACAGCGCCTTGTTTGTCTACCTTCTCGTTCTTGTCCGTGTCCTCGCGCTGTTTTAATCTTTAATCTCCAAAGCAGACTACACAACATCTGTCAGCCGAGAGACGGCACAGTCAACATCACCACTTTTAAAAACAGTGTTTCAGTCAATATATAGTTCAGATGCACGTGCAGTAGGAAGTAGTTAGCACGAGCATAATCAAACACCGAAGTCTGCATGCTTGAGTTGATAGTAATTGGAAAGGAGACCGTTAGTGAAAAAGGAGGATGCCGCTTGCCGATACATACGCCGATGGTTAAATGCCTGTCGACCTATTTAGCCCGCCCTATTGAAACGTCGGGCTCCTAACTGTTTAGGATGTGGTTTTGATGAAGGTCTGTATTTCCAAAATTTTTGACCCAACCAGACGGAGTTCCGTCAAACGCGTTTACGTTTAAAACGTGCGTCTGTAAATATTCTTCATTTTGCAGTAAGGCGTCTTGTATGGGAGAATTTAAGAGAATGCCATTTATTATCTCTCTTTTTGCAAATTTAGTGTATTTGCCTTCAGACCGATTATGCGAGTAGAAAGTCCTTTCTGGGACGCCCCACAAAGCGGTGTTTCGCACTGTCAAACAGCGAAAAAAAAACGCACGTTTCGGCTGACTCAAAAGATGGCGTATTTTCGAGTATCGTCCTCCCGTGTCGGTCTCAAGCGGATATGTGAACTTAATACAGTCATATTTATTGATGACAATAAAAAAAAAGATTTCTGCCTGAAGATTTGACAACATAAATAAACGATATAATAAAACATATAAATTATAAGTAATGCACCCCACATCATCTAAATAGGCTCTGCAAATCTTTTCCGGCGTTTTTATCCTCAATAGGCACGGCACGTCTATAACTGATTTGGGAGAACCTTAAACGCAATTTCTATTTTGAAGCTGATTTAAATACCGTATGTGTTCCTGACGCATATTAAACTTCAAAAACATATACAAGTATGTTTCCTCTTTTAAGCGATGAACAACGATTTCATGTGTCTCTGGGTTGGACGAAAACAAAGTACACAGTGGCGCATGGTGGAACTATGACGATTGAGCACGCAGCCCGACAGAAAGTGTCCAATTAAGAAGCTTCAATTTCGAGTAAAGTATGAAATACCACATTGTTTCATTAAGCGGGCCAAGCACCTTCGTTCAGACTGTCCTTCGTTCAGAGCATCAATTTTGCAGTAAGTATTATTTTGTACTGTTCCTTTTCTTCTAAACTCCTGATGATGTGCTAGCACACGTTTTTTATCTTCTCTCGGTTAGCATTCTTGACCACATCGGCTTGCGTCCATTTGCTCAATTTAGCGAGCTCCATAATCTTCGTAGTCATAAATTCACGTTTACAGTACTGATCGAGTCCTTCAATACGGTACTGGTCACAAAACTTTCCCGTAACGCTGTGGGAAAGCATTGCACGCTGTCGAGAACGGCCGCTACGCTGTCATACACTGGAGAGCTTCGACGGACAGCTTAGAGGCTTGTTTTTATGTGCAGCAAGTTTGCTTCGGCGCCGTGCTGTGCAGTTTGTGTTTGTACCTTCAAATATTGTGCCAATGTCCAGATTTATGTGTTTGGTAAGATTGAGATCTCGGCACGCTTGCAGTGAAGGAGCTGATATTTTTTAGCAGACATGTCGTCTGCAACGTGAGTAAAGAGGGAGGGTTAAACTTCTAGACAGTGTCATTCGCCGCTGAAAACAAGACGCCGTCGCGTCGCCTGCTTCTAGAACCGAAGAAAGGTGAACCGTCTTTTACGCACCCTATGCTGCGGGTGAAACGATAGAAAAAAAAGTTGCATCGGGAGCTTCCGCAATTTAAGAAGGGACGCAATTCACGACGCGTTCTTCACTTGAAAGAGCCGATTCATCCTCGTACCACGAAACCTGATATCCATCCGCGAATCAATAAGCACTCAAAACGAGCACCAACATGGTCGTGAGACATCTCTTGCCATTGGCGGGTAGGTAAGAATTAGTTCTCATCAAGATATGGCCCTGTTCGGGCAAGTGAACCGGGTAAAAATATCTTGTTGGCCGAGAGCGCTATTGTCCGGCGCAAAGCACCCCCCCCCCCCCACCCCCCCAGTAGCAGAACACGTCGGGTTGGGAAGGAGGCGGTATGGGCCTGGACGGGATACTGATACCGGCCAGTACCAGAAACGCCCCAAGGGGCGACATCGGGCCGGGCCCAATGCCGGAATCCGGCCAGTACCGGGAACTTATTGGGGCACCGGGACGTCGGGAATACGGGATGTTAACATCCCGTATTCCCGACGTCTTGGTATTTCAATAAGTTCCCGGGTTCCTGGAACCCGGGAACACCACCCAATTCTGGAACCCGGGTTAAAGAATTTGGCGGTACTGCAACTTGCGCTGCTCTGTTGTAGGGTGACGTACCGGATCGATGGTGTACAGGTCCTCCGCAGCTGTATAGCATAGATCAGGGGTCTCAAACTCGTTTGAGTGCGGGGGCCAGCTGCCCAAGCCCCCAAAAGGTCAAGGGCCAATGTAAAGGGGGGGGGGGGGGGGAGGAGGAACTTTACGCTCTTGCTTGTCACACATCTGTTGGTTTGATTCATTTTGGGTACTACTTTAGGCTCTAACCTAATGTAATAACACGAATTAAAATGACTCTGCGTCACCACCATGCACCATTTTTTT